TTGGGTCGAGTCTGGTATCTCTAAGTGCGAGGGTTATCAGCTAAGTTGCCAGACATGCGTCTGTAATCCAGAGTTATGGGGGAACCAGAATTTCAAATTACAGCGCATGACATGGTGGGAGCGTGTGAAAATCCTTTGCAATCTGAGTAGTCGCTGGATTGGTGTGGCTTGCTAGCTTGTGTATATATCTGGTAGCGCCGCTTATGTGTGGGCTTCGAATACGAACACAGCGTTCAGCACCATCAATGTGGTTTGATTGACAAACGGTGCTAAATGTTACTTTGCCTAAAACGTAAATTTCAATTGACGTCACTGTGATGACGCATGCGTTGTGGAATACGGGAAAAAAAGCCCCGAAGCATGCGCACACAATATGCTAATAACTTTAACGAGGTTATGATGAAGACATATCCCATGAATATGAGTGCATTTGTTAATAGAAAATATTGTCAGGGAATTATTTAGCTACTCGGACATTCGTATAATTTCGTGTATATTCGAGAAACGTCTCTCGTCCTAGGAACCTACATTTCGCGGAAACATTGCAATCCATATATGGAAATAGTACGCGTATAATTTCTGTTAGCCTATTACGTACTGATTTTGAAGTCACGTGATCAAACAATGAGGCCATCTTGTTATTTCCCTGGGATTTTTAGTGAGCGTGTCTTGTAATTCGGAGTGTTACGATGAAGAATACAGTTCTTGGTGTTTTATTCCCGAATGGTGTGTGTGTTTTCATTAATTTCGCCCCCGTTTACCATTCCTCGACGGATGGGAGTGCACTGGTTGCTTGTGGTCGTCTAAGTGAGATTTATGTTAGTGTTGAACCGGTGTTGTCCGTGAGAGTCGATATCGTCAACCATTGATTGGCGCGAACATCGACAGTTTCTTACAGGGTGATATAAATTGTGAGAGATAGTCCCTGAAATACTCAAATATTGCTCTTACAACATGTACTATGAAACGCTGAATTACGTATATTCGGTCTTGACCCACTCTGCTTATTATTTGAAGACGCTTTCTATCACACTAAACTGGTCACCAAATTTAACAAGTGTCTCCCCTTTTTACACTGTCATCCGGCGCGAGCGTTGGCAAGCCTAAATAGATTTCGATTGTGCACAGCGCCACCAGTGGCTGTCCCGGCTCCAAGCGACCAGTTAATTTGCTTTGGATGATTAAACCAGTTTAAAGTGCATATATGATGTGAGACGTATATGTAAAGTTTTGATGTGATCGGTCCAGTCAGTCAAGAGATATGGCCTTGGGACCACATTTTTATAGCAGATAGGGCGTCACTCGACGATCATTTTTGAAACCATCTGAAAAATGTGAACAATATCTCTCCATGCCCGACCCAAATCTTGTTATGGAATGGCAGAAAATTGGGCCAAGCATACTTGAGATACCAGGACAAACGGACACAGGAAGACGCGGGCGAACTGACTCACATAGTGTGAAACTTTAGGTACACGTTTTTGAACAAATTAGGCCACCACTATACCAGCACTCTGTGAAGAGCATAAGTGTGAGATGGAGAACAATGCTGACAAAGGACAGATTAATAATAATATTTTTTTATTAGCACTTACACATTACCCTGAGGGATTGGCAATGGTTACAAATGTATAATAAAAGTGGGAAACTAAGCTTATATTGACATTAAAAAAAATATTGAAACTAAATTATTATACTACAAAAGATAGAAAACAAAATGCAAAACGTAACTGTAAAAGAAAATTGTCACTGACCTTGCTGTTTTATTTTAACACACTTAGGTACCTTGATACAGAGAGAGTTGAATCATAGTAGTTTTGCAGGGCCATGAATTATGTCTTTGGAGACACATTTTGGTGCCTTTTCAAATAAAACATTTTTTCTGGGGTATATTTTTGAATGACACCATTAGGTGATACTCATCTTCTACTTTGCACCTATCTCAATTTTCATGTCACGTATACTGAGACGGAATTTTGTGAAGTTTTCGCACATCTCATTATGTTGCAGGGTAACAACGTAGAATTCAAAAACAAAATGTTATTTATCTGTATGTTCTTAATTTATTTTTTTAATTTTGTTTTGATATGAATGATGTATGTATATTTTTTATAAATTTGTCTTAATTGCTTTGTTGTTAGATTGCATTGCCGTCGACCAGGTTGTTAATTTTTTTATTTTCTGCGAAAGGTTGTTTCAATATTGGATTTTCCCAGTTCTTTACACGATTAAAAAAAATTAATCATTTGTTTTTCGATAAAAGTTTCCAAAAGTGTTTCAATGTTCCCATGAGAAAACGGAGAAAATGTACATGTATATTTTCAATTGGTGATTTCAGTGCAATTTTATTTCAAGCTTTGTACGCCTTCCTTGAATTTCTCACTAACACTTACCATTAATCCTGGATTAATTCCATGATGTATCCTTGGAAGGAAAAAATGGATAATAATAAGGTTATTATTAGGATACCTCAAAGTATGCACTCAGACAGTACGCTGTTGCATCGACCTCTGCTGCGCGTCGGTCGATACAGATAACTGTTTTACGGCATTTAATTCACAACGAAGAAGAAAATATAATTCTCTAGAAGTCGGTTGCAATGTCTGACGCTTCTGGGACCTCGGGCCGAAAGCGCCGTATCCAGTCCATAACAAATGACCACGACGGGCATCACCGAGACTGAGACCTACAATGCTACAGTTTTGTATACTTTTTAAAAGAAATAAATAGATTTTTCTATCGCGATTTTTAATAATCGGCAACCTTTAACCTGCCTTGCATCATGTAATCTGTATGTGCATGCTGTCAAGTTTGATATCTTTATGTCAGTATGCAGCTCCGCAGAATGTCCACGAAGGTCACCAACGTAGATGCACAGCAAATAGCTATGACGCTATGAAAATTTTTTTCTCAAGAAAATCCGCTCAATACATCAAACCAGTCAAAAAGTTTAAACATACTGTAAACACATAAACAACTGTATATCAACACTTCCTAAATCAATATCCACGATTTACTAGTCGTTGTTTACAAGAGGTTACATATTTCTATTCTTTTTTATTTTGCTAAAATATTTTTGATTGTCCAACTTTTGATTTTCATATAATGGTAAAACAGAACGGAGCAAATATGGGAACTTAATAAAAAATCAGTATTCGGATTTGGGCTGATATTATCATTTTTAATTATAACTTGATGACACCGGTGGCTAAATACTTGTATTGATCACAACGATAGTCATTGATGCATCAACATCGAATAGCAACATCTTCAAATGTTTTCTATAACAGCTATTTGAGAGTTGGAAATAGAAAAGACTATAGAAGAAATATAGATAAAACAATTACCTATCAGACGCTCGTCGATATAGAAACCAATATCATCCATAGTTACGTAACTCCTATAGTTGCAAATATCACTGTTAGTATATTTCATGTGACACGATGTGTTTCAGGAAAACTTATAGATGCTAACATATACTGATTCAAGATTATTTTCATTCTAGTATGTTCTCACTTGACCCTCGTATCTGGTACCTACTATTGGGGAGTAATCGTTAGTTGTAACCTAGTTTGGTGAGTTATTTTAGTCGAATGGTTAGTGTGTGCGCCCGCAGTGGCGAGGCACTACGCCGTGTACACGGGTTGCGTGTTGTAAATATTCTCGCATATTATACAGAGTGCCTGAAGAACCATCGACGGATATTGAATACTGATCAATGGTCATCATCTTTGTTTGACATTTATCCCTTGGAAGATATAAAATCGTTGAAAACATTGAAATATTATGTCCATTCACAGTACAGTACAGAACCACAAAAAATGGCAAAGACCTTCCAATTTATAAGCTTGTGAACCGCTAAAGGTCAAAGTTCACTTTATGTATGTATGTATATTTTCATTATAC